GAGGACCTCAGATGATGCCAACCCTGAAACAACATACAGAACTACCACATTTTGCTATAAGTTTGATTGCAACATATAATAATTGCTGCTAATAGTGTTCATTGTCTGTTTGATTATGTCTTTAATTGATTTTTCCGTACATTTCTGCCATATGTACATTAACTGACAGTCACCACTGATTAGATGCTACTAAATATTGTAGAAACTTAATTTTCTGTAAAGTTGTTTTGCAATGATTTGTATCGTGAAAAGCGCTATACAAATAAACTTGAATTGAATTGAATAATAACACGATTGTCCTGCTACTGCTGCTCTGCTGGATTTGGCTCTTTTTTGACGTTTGCATAATTGATTTTGTCACTTTCCTGCTTAATACTGTGAAGCTGCTATAAAAACAATCTGTATTGTATATTAAGCTTAAAAAAAGATGAAAAAAAAAAAAGGATTTCAGGATTTCCATGGGCTGATTTGGTGCTCAATTATTATCAGTTAGTATTGTTCTTATTATTATCAATGTTGAAAACTGTTTTTTGCTGCTTAATATTTTTGTGGAAACCGTGATACGTTTTAGGGCTCTTTGATGAACAAAAAGTTTAAAAGAACAAGATTTATTTGAAATAATAATTTTTTGTAACGTTATAAATGTTACTTTTGAATTTAATTATTTTTAATGCATCTTTGCTGATTGTAAGTATTGTTTATTTTTAAATCTTACCTCAAACTTTTGAATGGTAGTGTATCACAGTTGTAAACATTGATCAAAATAAGAAATGTTTTTTGAGAACTAAATCAGCATATTAGAATGATTTCTGAAAAGTCATGTGACACTGAAGACTGGAGTAATGACTGATGAAAATTCAGCTTTGCCATCACAGAAATAAATTACATTCAAAAATATATTCAAATAGAAAAGTTATTTTAAATTGTAATAATATTTCACAATATTATTTTTGACTGTTTTACTGGAATTTTACTGTATTTTTGTAGCATTAGAGACAAAAAAAATTGACTAACTAAAAATCATTGACATTAAAAAATCCTAATGAATCCAAACTTTTGACAGGTAGTGTAAATACACATTGCAGTGAAAATAACTAGTCTACCAAGGAGAAAAGCTGTATCAGATTTTTATTTGCTACAAGGGGTTTTACATTTTTAAATGTCTGAATTCAAAAATCTAGGAAATATAGAGAAAATATAGGAACATATGTAATTACAGACTGAGAGCAGGTTATAAAAAATGGGTGAAGACAAATTAAATAATAAGAACATAGAATAAATTAACTGTTGTCTACATTTATGATTATTATATGAGTAAATAAAGGTTCCCTTATGCTTGTTAATGTAAAGTGCCAATGCACAAAAAAAAAATTTGGGGGGGGGAGAAAAAGTCTTTCTATACATTGCTTTTAATAGTTGTTTAATTTAGTTATTTAAATCTTATTATAAAATTGTTCTAGAATTTAGAGGTTTGTGTACAGGAAACAGAATTTTTTTAACAAATACATGTTTATTTATTAATACCAATAATGTCAGAATGTATTTAAATTTGAAAACCATTTCTCAAGCACTGTAAATATATATTGTTATGACCAGATGTGAATTGCACCGTCAGAGCCTGCAGATAGAAGGTATTCCCCTTTATGGTCAAAAATGACACTCTGAACGGCATCTTCATGAGCTATTACACTCGACATATGTAAAGACAACACTTCTACTAGTTTAACAGTGCCATCATTACTCGCCACCACTAGAATTCTTCCATTTGGATTGAAGGCCACTTGATTGCTGGGATGAGGCCCAGTGTCTATGGTCACCATTGCTGACACATTCCTCACATCCCATAATTTGACCACCCCAAAAGAGTCGCACGAAGCAACTGTGTCACCTGTGGCATTGAAGGTTGTGTAGTTGCATGAATGCTTGTGCCCGTAGAAAGTCTGGGCACACAATCCAGCACGGGCATCCCAAAGAGAGAGGGTCTTGTCTGCTGAGCAGGTAAGTAGAATATTTGAGAAGGGCAGGAAAGAAATGCTGTTCACCGAGTCAACATGTCCACGCAGAGTCCAGCGGCAACGCTCACTATTCAAGTCCCACACTTTAGCCGTGTTATCCATAGAACAAGAGGCCACAAAATCACCACAGGAATGGAAGGAACAGGCCCAGGTGGTGTGAATGTGTCCCTCCAAACTGAGCACGCATCGACCTTGAGCAAAGTCCCAAATTTTAACTGTGGTGTCCCCACTTGTGGTCCCCAGGTAACCACCGCTGGGATGGAAACTACAGGATGACAGCCAATCAGTGTGACCCTTGCCAGTCATGATCATCTCTCCCTCTGGTATTCCCCATAATCTCCAAAGCTGGTCATCACTTGAGGAGGCTACTATCATTTTACGGGGATGGAGAGTGAGGAAGCTCACTGCCATTGTATGTGCTTTTAAAGACCTGAAGAGAGAGAAGTTGGCTGATTTGGTGTTTAGTGAGGAAAGAGCTTTGATTTGCGGCAAGTAGGGATTGACTCGAGTGCTGGCTGGGAATTCAGAGTCTTTAGGATGCCTTGTGTTTTTGTTGGGGTCTTTTATAACATAATTTGATGCAATGTTGTCACATGACAGGTGTGCACCTTTTTCTGGACTCTTCTGTATTTTTTCTCTTTGATGTGGTGTGTTAGGGGATTTTAGAGCTGTTCGGGTTCCTGGGAAAGAATGTGCGGTACGTAGAGAGCTGTCTATGTTCTGAACCTGGCTGACAGCTGTCTCTCTCCAGACTAACCAGCATCTTCTGCCTCACAGCTGTCCGATACTTCTCATTTAGTTGTCTAAGAGCAGGATCGTAGGATGCATAGTGTTTCTTCAGCTTTTTAATGTCCTCAATAAGTCTATTCTTCTCTTGAACAACACGCTTGTGCTGCATCCTATGGAAGTCCCTCTCTCTTTGAAGTTTTACTATGGTTTCTCCAGCTTCAAATGCAGCCTGTTTATAACTATCCCGCTCTCTTTGTACGTTTTTCAGCTCGTTGTCCAGGAGCTGGTTGTGTGTATAGACATCAGGGACGAGTTTCATTACGTCTGTTTTCATTAAGCCTTTGTGACCCATCTCAAACCACTCGATTTGGAAGCAGTCTAATGTTCTTTTCATACCCATTTTTACCAGATAATTGCGGAGAAAGTCGTCCACCACCTCAGGTATTTTAAGAACTGGATGTTTCGCCGACCTGACCCTCTGAGTCTGTGTTGTGCATTCGGTGGCATCAGTTTGATCCCGCACTGCTTTAACAGCAGTTTCCAAGTCCTCTTCCCCCTCAGGTATGCTGAGTTCGTCGTCGACAGTCACTTCGTCGTATTTATAGTCATCCTCAGAGTCTTCTGGAATTAAAACTTTCTCGAGGTAATATGGACCGTCAACGGCTTCTTCTGCTACCTCGTACCTGGCTGCCATTTTTCACGTCTTTTTGTTGTGCCATACAAAGTTGTGTATTGTTTCCATGGTGACAATGAGACCGTGACCAGGAGTATAAATACTACGATGTAAAGATAGTTCCATGTTATTTTTACGTGTTTTATTTAAAATGCACCTATGGATTAAATTATAAAATATATAAAATTGACACCAAACTAAAAACTATAGTTTTATACAAATTTAATAAAGCAATACACAGTAGATGGCGCTCAAGGACCAGTGAACTGAGCGAATTCCAACACTAAACCGGTTTTAAAAACACAATGTACAATTATAAATCTATGACAGGTAAAGAATTGTGTCTTTGGAATAGTATTCTCATTTCTTTCTTTCTTTCTTTTTGCTTCTTTAAATGTGCACGCAAATTCAGGGGTAAGGAATAAAAGCACGGTAGGTTTTTTAGTCAATACAATTGGTTATAAGCAATACAAGCAATATTGATAATTCAAAATTCAAACAATATAATAATAATGCCTATTATTATTATTATTATTATTATTATTGACATTCTAAAGTAGTGATGGTTACTATGAAATCTGCTAAATGTGTAAATAAGTTAAGAATCGAAAAAAGTTAGAATTTTCAGACAAAACGATAAGTATCTTTCAACTGAATCACAGTCTGATGAGGCAGAGCCTTTCACCTCAGAACCAATCAGATGCTGTAGCTGAGTTTTGGAAGCTGAAGCATCAGTACAAAGGTCGGCGTGCGCTAGCTTTTGCGAGGACCAGTCAACGAGAGCACCAGGACGCGCGCCCAAGGATCACTGGTTTCTGTAGCCTTCATGAAAGCCAGAGATATGAGCAACGAAGCAGAAGGGGATAATCCAGACCAAACAAACCGCAAATGTAAATCACCTACTCTGTTGTCCTCGTACTGCATCGACAGTATTCTAGGAATGAAAAGTCCCTTAAAAGTTAAAGGTTAGTTGTTTATTCTTTAATTTTGTGTTTCTGTTTTAGTTGCTTTTACATAGCCTATATATTGTCCACTGAATTGCTAACTGAAGCTAATGCCTTACATTAGAATTTATTTTAATGGTCTACTTGAAATAGGCTAAGTTCATTACAGTGTCCGTGAATCAACTACTGCATAGCCTACTATTAGCTATAATTAATTACAATAACAATTTGCAGTTACAAGTAGGCTATAGCGTAGGCTACTCATTAAATACAAAACAGGAAGGTTATTAAATTATAGTAGCCGGACACTAAAAGTGGTCTAGCTATTAGACGAGTATTCTAAAGGAAGTTTAATTAGATTTTCAATATTCGTATCTTTAACTTAATTTATCCTGTTGATAATTATTTAGATAAATTATTTTTGCTCACAGCAACACCAAACAGTTTGTGGCCCCTTCAACCAGACATGCACCTGCCACCGAAGCTCCGCCGCCCCTTCGCCCCGTTGACAGACTCCTCCAGAGACATTCACACAGACGAAAATGAAGCAGCAGGCCAAAGACTGCTACACACAGCTTGTGAAAAATTAAAAATGACAGAGGCCTCGCTAGTAAACATCAGTCGTGCTAGATCGTATCAGGAACATGCTTCTCTACAGTCCTGTAGAGAGGCATCCAGTCCCACGCCAAGACCGGAGGAGGAAGAAACCGACAATGAAAGACTATGTAGAGAGACAACTGAGTCTCCGGGTCAAATGAGACTGCAAGAACGATATGCATGTTTGAAGAACCGTGAGGAAACTACTTTATCAGCGGGAAGTGACACTGAAGATGGGATGTTATTAAAACGAAAACAGAGGAGATACCGGACCACATTTAGCAGCTATCAGCTTGAGGAGCTGGAAAGAGCTTTTCAAAAGACTCACTATCCAGATGTTTTCACAAGGTAACGCAACACCAGGCACAACTTGTAGACGACAATGCTTTAATATTATGCAAATATATATATAAAACTGATTCGTTGATGGTTGGAAGGCACCATCCGTCACATCTTCAAGACAACATCTTCATCATTTTCAGTACTAGTATATTAAAATCAGCCATATGAAAATTGAATATGCTTAAATGAAAAAAAAGTCCTACAAAAATAATTTAGATTTTATCAGTTGTACTTATTTTTAATTTTAATCCTATAAATTCTTCTCGTTAGCCTACAATACCTTTACATTAGGCTAACAGTTTCAGTAGCACAGGACCTGTTAGAATTTGTATATTTGTCACGAATGTAAACGAATAAATATATATCTTTTTTAATTTTAGCAAAATTAATTATCAATCTTAGTAAAAATCGAGATAAAGACACTCGACCTAGGCTACAACTTGTTTTTTCTCTCTAATTTAAGGGAGGAATTAGCAATGAGACTTGATCTTACAGAAGCACGAGTGCAAGTAAGTCACTTTCTTATTCATTTCACCCTTTTCAACATTCACTATTAATCTGTTCACTCTCACTGTTCACGACTGGGCACACCATACCTCAACAAGAAGCATAAAAAATCACATCAATGAATTCTAAGTTCTTAAGGTCAACGTTAACTCTATTACATTTATATTTCATGCATTTTTTATGATTAAAATTCTACATTAAGCCAGCAACAATTCATGCGCGACAGGCTATCAAAAATATAAGATTCATATTAAACATACAGCCATTCGTAAACGAATGTACGATATAGCCTATGGAAAAAGCACTGTAAATCTGTTATATTACGTCAGATTTATATAACAGGGAAAATGGCACAAGATAAGATGTTCGTTTATTTAGCTGTTTTGGAGAATCGCATTTTATTTATTTATTTTTTAAGAAACTAAAGCAAGCCATATACTTGCACACATTTTGGCCTAGAAAGTTACTAACGCGTTAATGCTAATTTCTCTTAACATTTCCACTAAATATATATTTTGGACCCCCTTTTACCTTCATCAGTAAACAACTCTGTGTTAAAAGGGACAGTTCACCCAAAAATGAAAGTTCTGTCATCATTTACTCAATCTCCAAGTATGACTTTCTTTCTTCTTCGGGATTACAAAAGAAGTATAAACATTTCAACTGTTTTTTCCCCATACAATGAAAGTCAAAAACCTTTGGACAAACATTGGACCACACTGACTTTCAATGTAGTGTTCATTTTCTTGTGTTCCATAGAAGACAGAACATCATACAGGTATGGAAAGACTGTGAGAGTGAGTAAATGGCAGAATTATTCTTTTTTTGGGGTGGACTGTCCCTTTACGGATATTCTCAGAGATGCAAAAATAAAACAAATTCTTGTATTTCTTGTAATACCCAACATTATTCTATTTAAGACTAGTCTATAAAACAGGCCTTAATTTTTATGGCGACTTTAAGGGGACAATAGCTTGGTGTGACAATATTTCTTTACTAAATGTACAGTTTAAAAAACAACAACTCGTAACTACTTGTAATTGACAAAAGCATTGTTTCCTCTCAAGGTCTGGTTTCAGAATCGACGAGCAAAATGGAGGAAAAGGGAAAAGGCGGGGGTCCAGTCACACACTCTGAGCCTACACTATACTGGAACCCCCCCTGCTGCACAGTCCTTGTGTCATTACCTGAGTGGGAATACTTTTGTCCCAAACCCACATCCTGCTATTGATTCGTCTTGGCCTGCCCCCCTCCAAAGACTGGCTCAGCCTCCCCCAAACCCTGCCTCCCCTCATGGCTTCAGTACTCTGTTAGGGGCGGCCATGTTTAGACATCCCGCTTTCATTAACCCCACTTTTGGAAGGTGAGGTTCATCTGCATATTCAACACAAACCATTGTTTATTTATCTTTACCTTGTATGTACCTTTCACACTTCATAATGGTTATAATACTCTGTTACATTTCTCATCAGACTTTTTACAAGCTTAGGTCCAATGGGACTGCAAAGGATACCCCTTCCTGCCATCGAGGGTTCAATTCAACGCACCCACCTCACCAACAACCTTCTCGCCTCTTCACCACCCTTACCTTCCTCCCCAACAGTGGACTTCCGTGCTTCCAGCATAGCAGCACTGCGTCTCAAAGCAAAGGAGCATTCTGCTCAGCTGACTCACATCACAGCTGCTGGAATGGCTGGAAAAGAGGAGTGCTAAGACTCACTCTCACTTAGAGATGGCAAAACACCAAAGTCAAGCAGAAGCACTGATATCTGGAGAGTTAATAATAGATACATTAATAAACACATGTAGTTTTCAGTCTGTGGAAGTCGAACATAGCATTCTAAAGCTTTTTTCGTTTGTTTATTGTTGGTTGTTAAAGAGTGCTGAATGTTTTTTTTCTTCATTGTTGAATGATCCTTTTAAGTTAAATTGATCCTGTTTTGCATTAGTAAATGGATACAACAATCAACAAACAGCCATATATGAACAAATCAACAGGACAAGCTGCTTTTAATTTGTTACATATTCAACACTTTTTCAAGATTTGTTCTGTAACCGTAAAAGGGATGTTTTACTCTACATGTTTTTATTCTGCATCATACAGTATTAGGAATGTGTTTAAGGCTGCACTTTCTGTGTTCGCAGAATAGTACTAAAATAGTTTTGGTATGGTTATGTTGCCATGCATTACAATGAGCTTTATTTATATTTTGTTAAACCGATGAGCCACCATTCAGGGAAATAAACTAAATATCCATATGCTTCTCTTGATGAATTAGCCAGGGAAAATAAGATAATGTGAAAGTAAAAAAACAGAAAAAGGTTTGTGCTGTCTTAAAATTCCTTCTGTATTTAATAATGCTTTAAATAAATGGATGATGGACAGGTAACAAAATTTATAAAGGCTTACTGTGTAAATTCCTGACCTTGTAATCTGAATTTTTAAATGCTTTGCATCATCTTATAGCCAAAAGAAAACCAATTATTTTTGCACAAAATAGCGTTTTCAAGCAACCTTTCTGCAACCACAAAAGTTGCATTTCAACATTATTTCGAATTGTGCGCTAAATACGCGTCTTTAGTTGGCGGATGTAGGCTATCGGTGTTTTGGTTGAGCGAGAGGAACTGAACAGGGCTGCGTTTCCCAAAAGCTTCGTAAGCCTAAGAAGTTCGTAAAAAGGATAGTACG